GCTACTCAGGAGGCTGAGGCAGGAGAATTGCCTGAACCCAGGAGACGGAGGTTGCGGTGAGCCGAGATCGCGCCATTGCACTCCAGCCTGGGTAACAAGAGTGAAACTCCGTCTCAAAAAAAAATAATAATAATAATAATCACAAACATTTACTAAGTGTCTCCTAGGTATAAGGGATAAGAATGAAGAGGGAGGAAAGAAATACAGGAAACAGCTCTGACTTTTCATTCTGATGAGGAAGAGCTTTCTGAAGAACAGCATTGAAGCAATCTGGCCACACAGCAGAGAAGGAAAGGAAGGGAAGTCACCAAGCTGCCCAGGGTCTGGGGTAGCCCTGGTGGGAGCACCTGGCCTGCAATTCTATTAGCTGCCACCAGGTGGGGGAGGTGGTGCCTTAGACCAGCAGTCACCAACCTTTTCGGTTTCCTAAAAGACAATTTTTCCCACCTCAGGGGGAGAGGGGGATGGTTTCCGGATGAAACTATTCCACCTCAGATCATTAGGCATTAGATTCTCATATGGAGCGCACAACCTAGATCCATCGCATTTCGCAGTTGGCAATAGGGTTCAGGCTTCTAGGAGAATTAAATGGGGCCACTGATCTGACAGGAGGCAGAGCTCAGGCAGTAATGCTCACCTTCTCTGCTGTGCAGCCAGGTTCCTCACAGGCCAAGGACTGTATCAGCCCAGGGATTGGAGACTCCTGCCTTAGACCACTGATGAAAACTAGTCAGATCAAAAATTTCACCGCTAGTGGCAAGTTCAGACACCTTATTGTGTGGGTCAGGGTAGACACAGGTGCAGGAATAGAAAGAACATGTAAATTCTAGGTGTCAAGGCAATTCGATAGGAAGAAGGGCCCTTCTATTCCAGAGGATGCTCTGAGTACAGCACAAATGCGCTCTGGGCTCCCAAGATTCCTGCCGCCTAAAATCACCATGCTCATTAACTAGCTAGGAAGCCATCCTCCCTTCACCTAAAACTGGCCCTTCCTCAGCAAGGAGGAATTGCTTCTTGAAGTCCAGCTGACAGGCCTGTGCTCCTCGGGGTACCTGGTCAGTGCCATGCACAGGGGTAGTGGTAGCAGGAGCCACAGTGTCCCAAAAGGGAGAAACAGACACCATCAGCCCACGTGGGCCAGATCTCTGCTTGGGGCACCCCAGTCAGCTGGCACTATTGGTCCCAGCCAGTCCCAGGCACTAGAGAGTGAGCCTTCGAAAATGTCAAGGAAAGCACTCCAAATCCCAGACACACTTCAGCACAGGGTTAAAGTTCATACTCACACTGCCTATATCTTCGAGGCATGGCCCTCTCTACACACCCCCAATCCGGTTTGCTCAGAGTGGGAGTAAAGGGGCAAAGACAGGGTATGTGTTACAACAAGCTTCCCACTGGGAGGCAGGATGAGCCCGATGCTAGCAGGGCTACAGGGCCAGGCCTAGGGGGGTATGAAGGCACATGGCATCGGGGGAACGAACAGATGGGCTTAGCAGCAGATGCACAGAGAGACTGAGGAGCAAGGAGACAGGGAGCCAATCAGCCCCCAGACTACTGAGGGAGGAAACTGTAGCCCTCTTACAAGGTTGTCCTCTGCTTCTCTGTAGTGAACTAAGAGAAGTTTTTTGAGGATGGCAGCGGAATCCAGGGTTTTGGAAAGTTATCAGTGTTGTGAGCAGTCCCATGTGTAAAATGAAAATACCACCTTCCTCGCTGGATTACTGTAAGAAGTAACTGATATATAACTTTTGAGAAGGGACTTTGCAAACCATCACGTTTTCCACACCAAGGCATTACCAATAGGTAATTAACCAGGTGCAGAGAGGAAGTTTGGATGTAATAAATTTAATGCCAGACAAAAACCTTGTCCTGCTTTGTGGGAGCTGGCAATACAGTCCTCCTGTCCCTATAACCCGGTTTCACCTCGACTCAGCTGGCTGGGGGAGGGGTGATTCTTCTTAAACCCTGACCTAGCCCCCTGACTCCAGCCCTTACCAGCAAGAACTCTACCTTATCTGCAGTCTGGAGACCTCTGCAAAGGAGCCGCTGCGACAGCCCGTCCCCACCATCTGCTCCTATATTTAGTTACTGGTGTAGTCAGTTGGGAACTTTAGAGTCTGGCAGCGGCTCGGATGGGCAACCGGAGCCTCCGGAGCCATGTGTGCAAGCTGGCCCCACCGCTGGCTCCAGCCCGGGCTCTGGACCATGCCAAGCCGGGAAGCCGGTGGGGAGGTGAGGAGCGACCCAAGCAGCCCCAAAGCCCCATTCAGATCAGAACAAAGTTGACCCACTTTCCCACCAGAGGGAAAGAAGCCTGCTGGGGCGTGAGCCGGACCTGCTGGCGCCTCGTTTTTGTGCCATCGGGTTCGGGAAGCTCAGCGCGCGCTCCCTCACGAACATCTAGGGATCCTCTGACTGAGTCTCCAGCACTAAGCGCGGTGGCCAGGCCAGGGTCCTCCCGCCCCGCGCGCCAGGACCCGCCTCACCCCCGGTGCCTGCAGCCAATGGCACCTTGTCCGCTGGCCCGGCAGGCGGGGACTGGGAGAATAAAGCAGGCAGAGGGGAGAACGCCAGTGATCGCAGAGGGCCGGGGGCTCCCACGCTGTCCGGAGGCCGAGCGGCACGCTCTGGAGCAGGCGTCTGCAGCTCCCCAGAGCAGACGCAAACCCCGAAAGTGTCGCTTCGGGGACGAAATGCACAGCAGCCTCTCCCAGCAAAGGGCGCCTCCCGCCGGGAAAGGAGGCCCGCCCGGGAGCGCTTTTCCGAGCTCCCTATTCCCTGGCACCGCTGCACCTACTCCCCCGAACCATCGGGGTCCAGCCGCAGTAGGCAAGCAAGAGCCGGCGCATGCCAGGCACCTTGGCACCGCAAGAGCCTCCGCTGGTGCACCGCTGCTCTTTTCCAGCGGGTAACCTGGGGGAGGGGAAGGGACGTTGCAAAAACCGGGACACTTCTCGCCACCTCTCCCCCAGCCCCTGCAACGCTCGGCCTCCGACTACGTTTACTTTGCGGGGCACGAAGAGTGTGGCCCGTTCCGGGCCGCTTTCGGCTCCACTTACGGCGACAATGCCTCCTAGCGCCCTGCGCAGCGCAGTCAGGCTCCCTCCGCCGCCGGCGGCGCCCCAGGCGAGTTCCCAACCGGCAGGGCGGGGCGCGCGGGGCTGCTGGATCTGCGCGCGCGGTCGCTCCTCCAATCCCCGCGTCAGGACCGGCACCGGGGCGGGAGCAGGCTCGGCCCGGGCTGCGAGCAGCCAATCAACGCTGGACTGGCGCGCGCGGGTGTGGTGCGCGCGGAAGGGCAGCCTGCGCGCTCCCGCTCGCCGGGAGGAACCGCTTTGTGTGCGGCTTCTAGAGGAAGAACGCTGGGAGGGCGGAGATACCGAGTTTGATTAGCAGTACATCCCAGGATCAATAGGACCGGGGCTCCAGATGGGCTTTTCTCGAGGGAATGGAGTTGAAATAGCCAGATCAGGCGTACTTCGAAACACGTGAACATGGTGAATAGGGAACTTTTTCTGTGACGACTTTGGGTGCCCATTAAGGTTTTTAGTATATGCAAGGCCCTGTGTCTTGGCCCTTTATCTCCAAAGCTTAAAGTTCTTGTCTATAAAATATGACTTGAGGGAGGGAGGGGCACGGTGGCTAACGCCTGTAATCCCAACGCTTTTGGAGGCCCAGGCAGAGACGGACCACTTGAGGTCTGGAGTTTGAGAGCAGCCTTGCCAACATGGCGAAACCTCCGTCTCTACTAAAAATACAAAAATTAGCCAGACGTGGTGGTGCGCGCCTGTAATCCCAGCTACTTGGGAGGCTGAGGCAGGAGAATCGCTTGAACCTGGGAGGCAGAGGTTGCAGTGAGCCGAGATCAGGCCACTGCACTCCAGCCTGGGCGACAGAGTCAGACTCTGTCTCAAAGTAAAAGAATATTTAATTCCGCCTCAGGGGTCTAGGCAAAGAATACACATTCCCTTGGGCCTCGATCGATGTTAAGTTTCATTATGCCCTCTCTACCCTCTCCCCACAATATGTTAAAGTCCATCAGAATGTGATTTGATTTGGAAATAGGGCATTGCAGATGTAACTAGTTAAGGTCGTGCTGAAGTAGAGTGGGTCCCTAATCCACTGAGACTGGTGTAGTTTTAAGAGGAGAAGAGACACAGAAGAGACCACAGGGAGAACCACCTGTGATGATGGGATGGGAATCAGCTGATGCATTTCCAAGGCCAAGACTGCCAAGCACTGCCAGCAGAGACCAGAAGCTAGGAACGGGCATGGAATAATTTCTGCTTCAGAGCCTCCAAAAAGGAATTAACCCTCCAGACACCTTGATTTCCAACTTACAACTTCCAGAGCTGTAAGTGAATAAATTTCTATTGCTTTACACCCCCCGCCCCCCGCAGTTAATGTCAATTTGTTATAGCAGCCCTAGGAAAAAACTGCAATATGTTAGTAGGAATAAAGAGAAGAGGATGATAAATATCTCCAAACTAAGTCTTTTGAAACTGAATACTCAGTATATGCAAGGCCCTGTGTCTTGGGGTATACGAACATGAATGAGACACAGACACCCCCACCTCAAGGGGTTAACAGTCAAGTGGATACCTAAGCAGCCATGTTTTCTGACCCCTTGTGCCTTCCCAAGAAAGACTATGGAGACCTCTCTCAACCCATCAACACCATTACCAGATATATACCAAGTACCAGATATAAATAACTAATGGATAGAGTCCCTTTCTGCCCAAACCAAGATGCTGCTTGTCACTATAGACAAAGCCACATAGCTACTTCTGTTTTCAGTGAAAACCAGCATGACACTTCTCACCAACTTTTACATGTGGATGTCTTCTCTGCCCTGCTAGTTCATATGCAGATCTGAGACAGCCAGTGCAGTGTTCCTGTGCACATGGTAAGGGCTCAGTATATACTGCTGGCTGATGGCCCCAGCTGGGGTTTCCCACATTCATGCTTTCCCTTAGCCAGTCCCCGTCCTGGACCCTCTAACTCCACAGAGACAAGATCCCTCCCTAGCTCAAATGCCACCTCTTCTATTCCTACTGTGTTTGCTTCTCCAGAGCACTTACTATATTATACCCATTATTGTATCATCTCTGCACAAGTCTTTTCTCCCAAGAATCTGCCTGATTGCAAATACCAGAGCTTGGCTCATGTTCAGTGCTTATATCCATCAGTGTTTCCTGCATAATAAAACATTCCAAAATTTAGATGTGGCTTAACACAACAATTACTTATTTAGTTCATGATTTTATGAGTCAGCATTTTAGGCTGGGCTTAGCCAGGCGATTCTTCTGGTCTCAGCTGGACTCCCTCATGCATCCCAGTTCACCAGGCAGTCAGAAGGCTCTGCTTCTGGGAGGTGATTAGCTGCCAACTGAGGCAAGTAGGCCACATATCTCTCATGTACTAACAGGCTAGCCTAATTTGTTCACATGGAACAAGAATGGAATTGTGTAAGGTTTCTCAAAATCTAGGCTCAAAGTTGGCACTACTCCACTTCCACAGTTGTATTTACCAAACCAGATTGCAAGGTCAACCCAAGTTCGAGGGTGAAGAAATAGACTCCATCTCCTGTTGGGAGGAACAGCAAAGTCACATTGCAAAGAACATGAGTACAGGGATGAGCAGAAAGTTGGGGCTAATTTTGTAATCCATCACAGGACTCAATATAACTATTCTTGGGCCGGGTGCAGTGGCTCACACCTGTAATCCCAGCACTTTGGGAGGCTGAGACAGGAGGATCACTTAAACTGAGAAGTTCAAGAGCAGCCTGGGCAATATGGTGAAACCCCATCTCTACAAAAAATACAAAAAGTAGCCAGGCATGGTGGCATGGGCCTGTAGTCCCAGCTACTCAGGAAGCTGAGGTGGGAGGATAGTTTGATCCCAGAAGACCAGGTCTAAAAAAAAAAAAAAAAAAAAAACCCTGTTCTCACAATACCTAGCATGTAATGGGTGCTCAGAAAATATTTATCAACATTGGTAAGATTTTCAATCACTATGTTTACCGACTACATTCAATTCAATCAGTTGGCAAAATATTATCCTTCACTGTTAGGGTGTACAAGCCTCCTGCCATTGGCAGCCATTTTCTGTTTAAGAAAAGCAAGTGAAGGAATCAGGAAGGTAGGGCTGTGCAAGAGAAGCCCCTGAGGCTTCTCAGTGAAGAAGCTCAACTGGCCCAAACAAATAGGCTCCTCTGAAGAGATCCAGAGCATCTTTGGAGGCCTGGACCCCTTAGTGACATGGTCCAAGCCTGGCCACCTGAGTCAGAAGCCACACACCCTGCATAGACTCAGATGTTTGCCAGGGCTTGGCCATAGCCTCTAGAGATGTTTGAAATCCTTGCAAACTACCTGCAGATAGGAAAACTCTTATGCTAAGACAAAATTGTTCTATGGCTCTTCCTGAAGGGTCTGTCCCTCACTGGGCAAGATACATTCTCAGGGCACTTGTGAAAGGGACACTATCGCATTGACAGAGTCGGCATCTCAACTCCTGTGACTGAAGACCCTGATAGAGTCTACTTCTCATCAAAGAACTTCTAGACGAAATCTCAAGACCTGTTAATTGGTTAATTTGTGCCACCATCCCCAGAAAAAAAAAAGGTTGTAGTCCTAACCCCTAGTACCTAAGAATATGGCCTCATTTGGAGATAGGGGCTTTACAGAAGTAATCAAGTTAAAATCGAGGTCATTAGGGTGGGCTCTAATCCAATGTGATTGGTGTCCTTTTAAGAAGGGGTCATTGGCCGGGCGCGGTGGCTCACGCCTGTAATCCCAGCACTTTGGGAGGCCGAGGCGGGTGGATCACGAGGTCAAGAGATCGAGACCATCCTGGTCAACATGGTGAAACCCCGTCTCTACTAAAAATACAAAAATTCAGCTGGGCATGGTGGCGTGTGCCTGTAATCCCAGCTACTCAGGAGACTGAGGCAGGAGAATTGCCTGAACCCAGGAGGTGGAGGTTGCGGTGAGCCGAGATCGCGCCATTGCACTCCAGCCTGGGTAACAAGACCAAAACTCCGTCTCAAGAAAAAAAAAAAAAAAAAGAAGGGGTCATTGGGGCCGGGCGTGGTGGCTCACGCCTGTAATCCAAGCACTTTGGGGGCCAAGGCAGGCGGATCACCTGAGGTTGGGAGTTCAAGACCAGCCTAACCAACATGGTGAAACCCCATCTTAAAAAAAGAAAAAAATTAAAAAAAACAACAGAAGGGTTCAATGGTACCTAGGCAGACATGCATAGAAGGAAGATAATGTGAAGAGACATGGGGAAAAGATGGCCATCTACAAGCTAAAGAGAAAGGCCTGGAACAGATCCTTCCCTCACAGCTCTCAGAAGGACCTATTGAATACCTTGATTTCAAACTTCTAGACTCCAAAACTGTGAGACAATGAATTTCTGTTGGTA